GAATGGACCGTATAGATGGTCGAGTGGCTCCGGCTCCGGAGCTGGAGGCTCCCGTGGGAGCTTTTCAATATCAACCGTCGGGGCCGATCCCACAGGAACCATGGGGGACGGGAGCTTATTCGCATTTGGAGAAGAGTCGGGATGGAGATGAGGATGAACAGGATTGGCGGACTTGTAGATGATAGTTGCTACCAATTTTGGAGTTCCAGTAGGAAGAGGATTCGTGTGATGATTGAAGATGGTGTGAATAATGCCGCTTTCGGTGACCTTTTCGGGATCGGGGCTGATTGGATTAACATGGAGATTAGAGAGCGACTGTAGTAGAGACTCGCGGGAGGCTCCTAGGACATCTTCGATGTTCTGAGTGAATGAAACTGGAGGCTTATACTGTTGATGGTCCTGGATAAAGGAGTTACTCGAAAGACACTGTCGTAGCACCGGTCGTGCTGGACGTGCGATAGGGTTGGGGGCTGCCATTGTGCCGCAATGTCGGACAAGGTCTCTTGTGATTGAAGAGAGGGGCAGACGATACGCGGATAACCGACGGTCTTTCACAAACAACTAAGAGCGATCGTCCGGGAGGCACCCTGGCAGAGGACTGGAGTCACGAAAGAAGCAGACAGCCAGTCCGAGACGAGAATGAAATGATATGATGATGGGGATGGTTGACTCTGACTAGTAGCAGTACGTCGTTTGTAGTTTGGCAATTCCCTGTGTTGATCAGCGGGTGGGCGGCACGTGGCGGGGGTTGTCCCAAAGAGGAAAAATACATGAATCACGTGCAGGGGAATAAGCTTGGCGCTTCACCGCCCGGCAGAAACCTCAGCACCTGATCAAACCCAGCTGATGATTATAACTTGAGGCTACGGCGCCAGTTGTCCGAACAAATAAAGGCCATAACTAAGCCTCAAATTTCGGACTTGCGTACTGGTTGTTCTGGATGGCCAAATGAACAGCAGAATCACTATTCGGTGTCGTGTAAGACATTTGCTTTCCCTCGTCTCGACGCTTACTGATATGCCAACTAGAGACCCTAGCATGGCGATTAGACTACGGGGCTCATCTCGGATGCAGCCCGGAAGCTGATAAAAAGAGCAATCTCTGACTCTACGGCAGTCTGCAGCTCGGATGAATTCGTTTCACCAGCATTAATAATGCTCATTCTCATGTGTTCGACGCTTGTTCCAGAAGGGACCGTGAACAGGAGAGCAACCAGGCAGATCTTGATGACATAAGCCATTCCGGTCAGGCAGAGGCGCTGGAAGCGCAAGTATTGCGTGATTTCCTAAGGGCATGAGGAAATTGAATTTTTCAGCAATGCCTCTTGAAATGGCAGGCGGTCACAGCCAATGTCGTGATTGAGCACGGCAAAATCAGCCGGCAAATGGCGCAAGTAAGTATGAGAACATAGAGGGGACAGCAGGGTGCCGTTACCGGATTATGTCGTGATTGTCCCTGTCTGCTTCTCTCTTATATCAGTCTTGCCATTGGCACCTCTGTTCTGGTCGTTCAATCTGTCTACCAGATCTGAATCTGTTGTGTTCTCTCTCTTTCATCATATCTCTGTATCCACTCTAGACCTATAAACATAACCAAATTCATTGTTGCACTCATCAGCAACGTTCTTGTGTTTATCCCTTTGTTTACTTTGAAGAGTCCATCACGACACAATCCAGGATGCCTGCCAAGCTGCCATCCAACTACACCTCTGATACAGAGGCCGCTGTCGACTCCAGAGATCTTCAGACAGAATCCGGCTATGTCAGTGGGGATTCGAGTGATGTCTACACTCCAGAGATTGTCTTCACCAAACCACACCTGCAGTTTCTTAACAGACAACTACAGTTCCTCGAGCCTCAAGGTTAGTACCGTGCGTCCCTCCTCGGGACTCTCAAGTAGGCCAAGTAGCTGACAAGACATAAGAAATCTTGAGATGGTGCATCACATCCCTTCCTCATCTCTTCCAGACCACTGCGTTTGGTCTGACCGGGCTTGTCACCCTTGACATGCTTTCCAAGCTTCAAGTGCCCCGCCCACAGATGGTTGATTTGATCTTCCTCGACACTCTCCACCACTTTTCAGAAACCCTGGCTCTTGTTGACCGTGTCCGCAAGAGGTACCCTCTGAACAACATCCACATCTACAAGCCAGCTGGTGTCGAGACTGCGGAAGAGTTTGCCAAGAAGTACGGAGCCAAGCTCTGGGAGACAGACGACCAGTTCTACGACTGGGTCGCCAAGGTCGAACCGGCCCAGCGTGCCTATCGTGAACTCAACGTTCATGCTGTTCTCACTGGACGCCGCCGCAGTCAGGGTGGCAAGCGTGGCGATCTCGATGTGATCGAAGTCGACGAGGCTGGCCTCATCAAGGTCAACCCCCTGGCCAACTGGTCGTTCGAACAAGTCAAGCAATACATCAAGGACAATGATGTGCCCTACAACGAGCTGCTGGACCGTGGCTACAAGAGCATCGGTGACTGGCACTCCACACAGCCTGTCAAGGAGAACGAGGACGAGCGATCCGGTCGCTGGAAGGGCCAGGAGAAGACCGAGTGTGGCATCCACAACCCTCGCTCCAAGTACGCCCAGTACCTGATGGAACTGGAGCGTAAGCGACAGGAGGAGGCTTTGTCGCAGGCGCTGCAGAACCAGCTCACTACCTCTGCTCAGTAAACATTCTTGTCTCTTCTTCCTTGATTTGCATCTTCACTGGCGTTCTCGGGTTACATCTAGCGAAGTTCACGCAGCCTTGATATCATTTGTCATCCCTTAGAGGCACCAGGCCAAGGGATTTATGCCGTTACGACTTGTGGGGTTAATGGGGTTCAACAGCTTGCCATGCCATATCCTACCCTTGGGGTTTTGTACATAACGAGGACTGGCATCTTGCAAAAGGATGACATATTGTCAATCCATAATAACGATTAGCATGATAGAAACAATGATTTTCTTCGAAGCTGAATTGGACTTGACTAAACTGCAGAAGGACTGGGTTTAAGCTATATCTGTTAAATTTATTTTTCGTACTATGGGTCAGTAGCAAGAGCATCTGTAAAGACTATGAGTCTGTATCATGCATTTACTACAGATGAATCACCTGTTGCCAAGGTGATGCCTGGGCTTTATGTGAAGTGATAGACAATCCAAAGTCACATGAAATCCATGCCTGAGTCGTTTTCAAGATGACAAAGGAATGTTGGTAGACTAATCATACTGAGGGGTACTGACCTCTGTGCAGGTTGAGCGATGGCGTGATTGAATCTAATCTTATCAATCTAATCAACATTATCAGCAGGAACGTAAGGTGTTTGATTGGACAACAGCAACCATCCATCTTCAAGCGTCTATTTATCCTTTGGTGGAAAAAGGCTAGAGTATAGCAAAGCACACTTGTCAATGAATTCAAATGGAACTTCCGAGACGCTGACCCGAGCGACCTCCCATCACTGTGTCTGCTTTATATGAGGTTGTCGGCCTGTAGCATTCAGTGTATGACCTGCTGAGTGGCAGCTCATTCCTACCAGGTATCGAACAGCTCGTACCCAATCAACGTCAAGTTGAGTACGATTCAGGAAGGTCAGTTTCTGGACTAAATTAAGGCGCCGAGCTCTTTTCTAGTACCTTGAAAGCAGGACTTGACGGTTCGAAGTAAGTCCATCATGGGCCATCATAATGGCCATAGAATGAGCTGCAAATCAACTTCCTGTCATAAAAGTCTTCCTATCCCAACGTTTGTTGTTATTATTAACCTGACTAGATTCGATGTTACTAATAAAGCACTGGTTCGAGACTCTGAAGAAAGTACATCTATTGACAGTCAGTAAACCACCATACTGGCAATGGGAGGGACGAGTAGATAGGGCTGGCCCTGTCACGTGATATCAAGATGCCAAGAACGACCAAACTTTAAAAATGAAATTGACAATCACGCAAGCCGTGCGGAGAATGTCGTGATGTCTCGAGTTGCCATTGATAGGCTTATCGGTAGCATCATGTGGCGTTTCAAGCTAGAGGGAGTTCTAGAGCTATGGTTTCAACCTTTTTTGCAGCGTTTTGGCGGATATAGATCCGATCTGAGGATTCAGTTTTTTTACATTGCCTTTTGTATCTATCCATCTATCTATATGTTCCGTGTCCATGCTGAGATGACTCCTGTGAGAGGAATCAAGGCTTAAGAGGTGGGGAGAGGCAACGTAAGAACATCTCTCCCCGCTTAGTAAATTTTTCACTTCCCCTGAAAATCATGACTCGTTCCAGGAGAAGTTGACGATTCAGGAGGAGGATATCCAAGGGTGTTTGTTTGTATGGAGAGATGTATTTCCACGGAGGTATAACTGTCAGCAGTAGCAGTAGCTTTAGTCAGATGTAGTCTGCAGGATTAGTCGATTGAATTGGAGATTGTATTACGGAGTCCGAACCAATGTATGGAGTACCTAGAGGGAGTATAAAGCATCACATCGGCGATTTCGGCGGCCGATATCGATGACGAATGATGGCACTACATACTCGACCATGAATGTTTGAAACAGTCGCATGAAGTGAATCAAAATATCACAGTCGCCGACTCGCTGTATCAGCGTTATTCTTCAGGGGAAGGAGAGGAAGAAGAATAGTCTAATACTAAAAATAATGAGGGATGTGGGAGGAAAAAGGTACGCAACTACGTAGACAGACAAGGCCAGCTCCACTATTGGACAGTCTACTGCCATTTGCTGGGACTGAAGAGAATATTATGGGGACTCATCAAGACTCAAGGACAAGATTATTATTTTTGTCTCCAGTGCTACGTAGTCATCCGTCCCTAGACTATGGTTCGTAGTAATCAGGGAAGTTCTAGTATTAATAGATAAAAAGACTGTCTTCCCTTGGTTCAAGTCTTGCCCGCCAACTTTTCCCTTCCTACCCCTCTCTCTGCCACCCCTCCATTGCATTCCTCCTTTTGTATAACTTACTCCCCAAAAGTTTTCTGTATCCTTTTCTTCACACACACACACCCAAAAAATGGCCAATCCTCCTCATGGTGGTGTCCTCAAGGACCTGCTCGCCCGTGATGCTCCCCGCCACGACGAGCTCGAGATTGAGGCCGAGCAGCTCCCTGCCATTGTCCTCACCGAGCGCCAGCTTTGCGATCTCGAACTGATTATGAACGGTGGTTTCAGTCCCTTGGAGGGTAAGTTTACTCCTTCGATCTTCATTATAAGACCAGTGAATATCTTCAATTCCTATCGAGGAGGCACAAGGCTATCGCGGGGGAATCGGAGGGAGGGGTATCTTACAAGGGGTCTAACTGGGAATGGTTGCTAACGCCGAACTTCGCATACAGGTTTCATGAACCAGAAGGACTATGACAGGTATGCTCTCACTTTTGCTCTCACACAATTAATCACCGTCCGAGATACTGATGGCACTTCGTTCCCCTCAGTGTTTGCGAAAATGTCCGTCTCGCCGACGGCAACCTCTTCTCCATGCCCATCACCCTGGATGTGTCACAGGCCGTTATCGATGACGGCAAGCTCAAGGCCGGCTCCCGCGTCACCCTGCGCGACTTCAGAGACGATCGCAATCTGGCCATCCTCACCATTGACGATATCTACCGCCCTGACAAGTAAGTTCCGTTCTTCTCCTTCTTGGCATCTGTCGATCATGACCTATTTTAACCACGAACGTGGTTCAATTGCCTGCGTGGTTTATCTGGAACAACAGACGCAACGCTGCAATTGACCGCAGCAATCGCTCTGTTGAATCCGAGATCCGTGCGTACAGTGGGCCTGGCTAACTCGTTTTCATTACGTAGGGCTAAGGAAGCCAAGCTCGTCTTTGGCGGTGACGAGGAGCACCCTGCCATTAAGTATCTCTACAACCAGGTTCAGGAATTTTACGTTGGAGGAAAGATTGAGGCCATCAACAAGCTCAACCACTACGACTATGTCGCTCTCCGCTGTACGTTCGATTGTTCGCTCGAGCTGCAAACACGAAAATGATTGCTAATAAACCCCGGTTATAGACACTCCCGCGGAGCTGCGTGTTCACTTCGACAAGCTCGGCTGGAACCGAGTTGTTGCTTTCCAGACTAGGTATATTACCATGCCATTGCCTACAACGAAGAAATCTGGCGGGACTGTAGCTGACTGGTCTCAAGAAACCCCATGCACAGAGCTCACCGTGAGCTGACCGTTCGTGCTGCTCGTGCTCGCCAGGCCAATGTCCTGATCCACCCCGTTGTCGGTCTCACCAAGCCTGGTGACATCGACCACTTCACCCGTGTCCGCGCCTACCAGGCTCTCCTCCCCCGCTACCCCAACGGTATGGCCGTACTGGGTCTTCTGGGCCTTGCCATGCGTATGGGTGGTCCCCGTGAGGCCATCTGGCACGCCATCATCCGTAAGAACCACGGTGCCACCCACTTCATTGTCGGACGTGACCACGCTGGTCCTGGTAAGAACTCCAAGGGCCAGGAATTCTACGGCCCTTACGATGCTCAGCACGCTGTCGAGAAGTACAGGGAGGAGCTCGGCATCGAGGTCGTTGAATTCCAGCAGGTCACCTACCTTCCCGACACCGATGAGTACAAGCCCAAGGACGAGGTCCCCGCTGGTGTCAAGACCCTGGATATCTCTGGTACCGAGCTGCGCAACCGCCTGCGCACCGGTGCTCCCATTCCCGAATGGTTCTCCTACCCCGAAGTTGTCAAGATCCTCCGTGAATCTAGCCCTCCTCGCAACACTCAGGGTTTCACCATCTTCCTTACTGGGTACATGAACTCCGGCAAGGACGCTATTGCTCGTGCCCTCCAGGTCACCCTCAACCAGCAGGGCGGCCGCTCCGTCTCCCTCCTGCTCGGTGACACTGTCCGTCACGAGCTCTCATCTGAGCTTGGTTTCAGCCGCGAGGATCGCCACACCAACATCCAGCGTATCGCTTTCGTTGCCGGTGAGCTCACCCGCGCCGGTGCCGCTGTCATCGCCTCCCCTATTGCTCCCTACGAGGAGTCCCGCAACGCCGCCCGTGACGCTGTTACCCAGGCTGGTGGCAACTTCTTCCTGGTCCATGTCGCTACTCCCCTCGAGTACTGCGAGAAGACCGACAAGCGTGGCATCTACGCCAAGGCCCGCCGCGGCGAGATCAAGGGCTTCACTGGTGTCGATGACCCCTATGAGACACCTTCCAAGGCTGATCTCACTGTCGACGTTTCGAAGCAGACCGTTCGCAGCATCGTCCACGAGATCATCCTCATGCTCGAGACCGAGGGCTTCTTTGATCGTTCTTAGAGTAACATAGGCGCTTTGGATGACTGTTCTGTGATACCATTGGGGATTTAGAGTAAATACTTTGAAGGATCTGTTTATAGAGTATACTGTTTCTGTGTGAATTTAATGCCTTGATTCCCCTTGGCCATATTGACCAAGTGTCTCATAGAATTAACATTGGACTCAACCTGAGTGTCCAAACGAGTACGTATCAATAATCTCTCAACCGTGATCTGATTCAGCCCATAGCACGTGACCCATGTGTAAATGTCATAGGATGCAAACAACACAAACAATCCGACGATCGTCCAATTCATCTGCAACATCTTCTCTCTGGAAAGGCAATGGGTTAAGAAATCCAAAGACCATCGTCGACACCAAACGTTAGAGCATGCTACCACCTCGGGTCCCTGCTGGCCGAATACCAGCAGCGAGCCGGCCACTATTACCGCCGAGCAGTCATGGCCTCCGCCATCAATTTCGCCCATTCACACACCGATCCCGACTTCTAATTCTCTCTCCGCCACTAGGCCGGCCTCAAGTACCGTTTCTGTCACCCTTGGCGAGCACTCGCCCTCTCCCGCCCCTGTCGATCCATCTCCGCCAGCATTTCGCCCGGTTGATTTCCACCGAGCGTCGCGATTACTACAAGCGCCGCCTATCGCGCGGGCTTCGGATCGGCCTGACATTCTACGCCATCCTCGTGCTGTTCCAGGTGATCAAGCTGGGCGTCTACCAGGAGGAAATCGAGCACCAGTGGCCTACGCCGTCGGAATGGTCGTGGAAGAGTCGCTGGTGTCTGCGGTCCGCGCAGGCGCTGCAGAACCCCGAGCAGATTGGCAAGCTCATGACCAACTGGCCCATGGTTGCGGGGTATCTGCGGGAGCTACTGGAGCGGCTGGAGAACCCGGAGGGCGAGGGCAAGGGGATCAAGGAGCAAGCGGAGGGTGGGATTCTTGTTGAAGGGGTGGGCAGGACCGGGTTCGATATCACGGCTAAGAGTGAGCCGTGGCGGAGAGGCTATCACCAGGCGCTGATGGGTGCGGCCAAGGCCGCGGAGAATCTGGAGGGGTGGCTGACGGATCGGAAGCAGCGTATCTCTGCTCCTGCGGAGTATGTGGTTGGTCCTTCGAATCCTCGACCCAAGCCCATGCCCGCGGGCCAGAAGCAGGCCCCGCGGGAGGAGGATAGCGAGCCGGCCTCGCCGAGTCCGGAGGTGTTTTATATGAAGATTTTGACGACCAAGGGGTTTGATACGCGGCAAAAGCTTGATGCCGCGTTGGCTTATGCCGACTGGCTTGATTATAAGGGTCTGCAGGAGACGGCCCGCGACATGTATGCCTGGGCCATGGATATCGCCGCCGCCGGGTCACTTGTGGACGCCAGCAAAGTGGTGAACTCGAAAACGGGGGTCCTGAAGAATGATGCCCAAGCGCTACCGTCTGAGAATATACTGCGGGTATCGACCGCGCTGGCGGTACATCACGCCCGGCAAGGCAATCTGCCCACCGCCCTATCCATCTTCACTTCGGTGCTTAAAGCTCGCCGTTCCCTCCCCCCGCCTCCGCCTGACGCCAAACCTTTTGTCCTCCCATCCATCCCCAAATCAACCCGAGACCCTTTCGTCTCACTCTTCAACTCCATTAAAACCATGTTGGTTCCCGCCGAATACCCCCCGCCGCTCCCATCGGGAGACGAACCCCCGGTCCGCACTCCGACCTCCGCCTGCGAAGAGGCAGGCCTCATGACATACATCGGCGAGATCATCTACGCTTCCTCCTCCAGGGAAGCCGGCCTTGCCTGGACGCGCGACGCAGTCGACATGGCCGAATCCACCATCCTCGAACTCGGCGGCTTGGAAGACCGTAACCCCCGTCACCGCTGCGCCGAGTGTCTCCGCGTCGGTCTGGAGAACTGGAAGACAATGGTCTCCAGGCTCGTCGCGCAGGCAGAAAGAGAGGAACGCGAGAGCATCGAGAAAGCCAAGCATGCCTGGTTCGGAGGCGAGAAGCAGTTGGAAGCCAAGGCCCTGGAGCGGAAGCGATGGGAGGCCGAGCGATTGATTCTCGACGATAGGATCAAGAAACTCTGGCCAATTATCGACGGGGAGTCGGGTTTGGAGGGAATCGCGCCCAATAGTTCTCTCTTTGTTTGACTGCTGTTCGGTTGATAATGATGTTTCGGGAGGTTTTGATTCACATGGAGTTAGGCCGGAGTTCATTTGCATCAAAAGGTTGCGTTGCCTGTATATCTTTCTCTGTACACTACTTGACTGAACTCGAATAATATTTGGATAGTCTTGACTAGATTGTAATGTCACAGACCGCGCAGAAAAGAGTACGATAAGCTGAAGCTGAGGATCTCAACCACGATATCTTAGCTATGAACAGGATCCGATAATCAACTCAAGGCCAGGAACAGAATAAGCAAGGGAGTATCCAACATTATATACACTAAGAAAGCAAGAACCGGCGTGAAGAGCACCTATATCCACTAAGCGAGACGTTGCTTTTCTCTCATCGATTAACACGGACAATAGAAGAACAGAACAGGTCATCCCAGTCAAGTCAGATCAACGAAATCATGTCAATTACCACCAACGACAGTCCCATTAGGCATAGTAATAGTGAACTTGTCAAAGTTGAGCGTAAAGTTGCCCTTGATGCCGGACGCGGAGAGGTCGATGTCAAAGGTGCCCGTCTGCGAGGTCGAGTACGAGTGAGCCAGGTATGTCTCGATATTGCCTCCGGATTGCATCGCCGCGTTGAACGCGGCGGTCTTCTCGAAGATGTACAGGACGGCAATGCGCGAGAAGTCGAGCACCTTGGCCGGGATTGCGGGAGGGGTCGGCGTGGACGTGGGTTTGGGCGGCGTTGTTCCCTGGGTGGTCTGCTCGGTAACTGTACCAGAGGACGGGGTTGCCCTGGTTGCTGCTGCGGTGCTGGTGTACGATTCATCGAAGAGGATGCCGTTTTGGGTGCCCACCGAGCCACGAGCAGCCAAGGTCTGCGTCGGAATATCCCTTGTTGTGGGACTCGGTACTGACTCCTCGACAGCGGGAGCGATTACTTCGGATATCAACCAGCCGACCGGTTCCGTCAGAGTGCGACGGGCTTTGTTGGAGGTGGAGGAGAGACCTTTGAAAGAGACGAGTGTATTCTCGGTCGTGCAGGAGACATTGTTTTGGCTGAAAAGCGCCATGATGCTCATCGAGTCCAACGGAATGCTGAAATTACCGCTTGCCTCGTCGAATAAGCGTGGAAGATCGCTGCCCATGGTCGCATTCTTGGATGTCGAGTTCTGAACTATCTCAGTCGTCACACAGCTCGCATCGCCGGCCACAGTGCAGCGAGAACCTGTGTAGCCGTTGGCGCACACGCACGAGCAGATACTCCCACTTGAGACGCTAACACCGCCATTTTCACAGGGCGCAGTCTTTTCGCATTGTGACATAGAGCTGGACTTGTGGTGGGGAACGGCGACCAGGAAGACGGGCACAAGCACAGCGACGAGAATTACGCAGATGATCAGAAGACAGACGAGTATAAATAACCATGGCGGCATGCCACAGCAACGGCGCGAGCGCTGCTGGCCTTTCTCCTCGTCAGTTTCAGGGCACGTTTCGCGCGATCGTAAATGCTGCATGGGAGTTCTCCGGAAGAAATCTGGCCACGAAGAGCGCACTTCGGGAGTTCCTGCTGGAGGCGGGAAAGATGCCAGGATGTCCTTGATAGATCCTGATTGGCGAGCTCTGTGACCTGAGCGAGGAATCAGTTTGGTTCGAAAGTTTTCGGTCTCATGCATCCAGCGAATGTGTGACTTACCTTGCGCGATTGTACTGGGACCATCATTGAGCAGGTCATTCCTACTGGCCGTCCTTCCGTGCTCAAGATTTGTAGCGAGCCTCGTGGCGCGTCGGATCAGGTCAGGCAAGCTTGTGAGACTGCCTCGGGCTTCTGCCGCTCGAACAGCCCCGAGATCTAGGCGAGGTGGTCTACGGCCTCCCGGCCTCTTGTCGCTCATAGTTGGTGCAGCCTTGGGGAGGATTCCCAACTCCTTCTGGGGAAATCCCATATCGTCGTCTCTGTGCTGGAGTGCAGGATGTTGGCCGCTGATGTCCACCACGATCGGTGGTTTCTCCGGATCGAGTTCGGACGAATCGGTCGAGATCGTAGAGACGGAACGTCTTTCGTTCTTTGACCCTGCTGCGATCTGCTTCGAAGCAGTTCTAGCAGGCACAACATTGCTGATCGAGCGCTCTTCTACGGTGGATACCGGAGATGGGCTGCTGGGCTTCTGGATCGTTCGCAGTGACGGTTTGCCCCTTTTGCCGAGACTGGCTTGTCTTACAAGGGTCGAATCTCCCTCGTGAAGGCCAGGCGGTGAATCACGATCATCGTCCGACTCGACGTCTAGGTAAGCTCCAAGAATTTCAGACCCGGCCGGTGCAGAGCCCCAGCTAGACGGGATGACTCGGCTGGATGCATATGACCCCTGCAAGATGGTTGGGCTGTCGGAGAGTTCTTCCGGGATCGGAGAGACAGAAGACCTGCGCTTCGTGGAAAATCTCGCAGCATTTGATGGGGCAAGTCGTTTCTGGTGCTGCCTTTGGGCCGGGTCTGTCTCTGCAGGTGCAGGTTGGGCGGGAAGAGCAAAGTCGGGAATAGAGGGAATGGACATGAAAGAAGAAGCTGTGGACTGCCTAAACGATTCATCAGTCGTCATAGGAACTCGCCGGGCTGGATTAGCAGCACGATCCGGTCCGTAAGGTGGAAGATGCCCCTTAACGGGCGGACGGGGAGGTGGTGGATGTGGCAAAGGGTGCGAGAATGATGGGATAGGCCGGTTCAGCTGAAGGGGACTGGGTGCTATGTCCGACATGCTTCTTTCAGAATAAACCGACGGAGACGGAGCATCAGGCCGTGGCGGCCTCTCTGGAGGGAGCCCTTTTGGGATGAACAGCCTTGTCTGAGTACCGGGCACATTCATTTGCAGGCTACCGTCAGTCGGTAAAGGCCATT